TACTTGGTATGAATATATTTTCATAATTTCTTATAACTTATTTGTCTTATTTGAGTAACGGTAGGTCCATATTTCTAAATTGAATTGGCTGTAGGTGTTAAAGAAGATTGGAAGCTAGAGCTAAGGGAGCTGCTCGTACTCAAAATTCATGTTGTAAATCAATAAAAATAAGGTATTTAGAGATGGAAGTACAAAATAAATAATTACCATAACACTGAATAATGCAAATATTTGCTTAATATACGTAATGTGATCATCTAACTGCTACTGATCACCAGAAAATGAAACTGAGTCCTGATCTCTTTTCTGAGATTTCATTAATCTCATTTGTGGTAGTGTTTCTTAATTTTATGGTAGAATGTGGATAGCAGAAATATACTCTTCAAACTGCAATTGTTTTCACATTTCCCCATGGAACCTTGAATTTTTTTTCCTTCTGCAAAAGGAAGTTAACTCAGTTTTCACTTTCACTTTCCATCAACAATTTATATCAATTCTCTCAACAATATTTAAATCAGAAGGTGGGGAATGAGAATAATCCTTTTATAATTCACAGCTCTTCCAATCTGGGATATTCATAAGAATTATTGGGATGGTATTAATCCACTATTAAGTCTTCTGGGGCTGAGGTGGATTAGGTGCCACAGGGTGGGGGAAGTTAGAACTTTTTTCTGTTCCTACTACCTCACAGGCCTGGATGCTACTCGTGCTTTTTAAATTTTTAATTGATTTTTCCTATAAATATTTTAAAATAAGAAATTTGATGGATGCTTATTAGGTATTGGAGGAAAGAGTTTCAATGAACCCTTTTCCTGCCATATCTACTTACACTTCTTGTTGCTATATTTAAGAATAATTTAAATATCAAAAACACTTTAGTGTCTAGTCAGACTACCTTTTCATATAAATGAATTTGAAGTTGATTTTCTCCCTTTTCATATAAATGAATTTGAAGTTTCAGGATAAGCTTATATTTTATAAGTAAAAAGTCATTTCACAAATTTTATTTTCAATCTCTTCTTCAAGGTTAACTTCAATTGCCACTTCTTCCAAGAAACCTTTTTTGCTATCTCTTGACAAAATAACTTCTCTTTCAACTGAATTTTTATAGAATCTTTTTATTTATTTAAAATATATTAACTGCTATCATGGGCCAGTCACATTTTTAGATGCTTAGAATATAATATATAAGATATAGTTTCTTCATGATCCTACCATTTCAGTGATTTGGAGGTGGCGGTGATGAGGATTGACCTATTATCTGTTTTAACTGTTTGGTTTTATACATTTTAGCTTACTGAAATTAGAGTATTTTATTCACTAATGTATCCCCAATCTCATACAATGTGCAGCATACAACAGGAACTGATAAATGTCTGTTGCATTAATGAATTCAAAATGAATGTCTTACTAGCTGGGATGCGGAAAAACAATGCTTAAGAGTCTCTTAAGCAGGTTAAGATTTCAGGCCTAGTTGGCTGAAAAGAGGCTTGTATAGGCGATTTTATCAGCTTCTCAGTGGTACAGGCATGTAAAAATAACAAAGCTACGCTCAAGTGGGTGATCAAGGCTAAGAAATAATGGACACAGAGAATATCAATGAGTTTTAGAGCAGGACGAGCCGGCCCAGTAGCATTGAAAGGGGCCCTGGAAGCAGGAAGAGGAAGGTTAAGCCATATTTCAGTGTTCTACTTCCTCTGCAGGCTGTGAATTTTTGCCCACATTACTCAATGCAGAAAGTGCAAAATCATTTATAACTAACTCTCAAAGGGAAAGGCAAGAGTGCCCAGAGACTTAGAAAGGGTTGAATTCTCATAATTTATTTTATTCTGGAAAGCTAATCTGGGAACTTTTTTCTTTTCTTATTATAAGACTGCCATGTGGCTAGCTTTTGGCAAGACGAGATTGATAGTTTTTCAAAATAAGAATCTTAACAGGCATCTCATTTAGAGGATTAAGTAATGAACCATCATCCTTTGTAATTATATGACCAAGAACTAAAAGGAATCAGCCATGGAAACTAAAGAATGTAGCCCACAAATGTAGGCTAATATAAGTAGTTTCTTATATTTTGCTTTCAAAAACTATTTAGGCTTCACATAAAGCCTTTGGGGCCTCACACATAGTTAGTGTTCAACAAATGTAATTACTTTTTGTTGTAAAGGGATTTGAGTATTTGACCCATTGGGATTTGGGTCAAAGATAATCTATTCAATATAGAGAAACCAATCTATTCAATATAGAGAACCTTACAAACCAATCTATTCAATATAGGGAAAAAGTTTTAGGGATGAAGAAGAGGACCTGAGCAAGACCCTGAAATAAATGGGGAAAGCCAACTCAGGCCTGTGGAATGAATGCCATTGTGAACAAATAAGCTAATATATTCTGAAGACTATTTGACCATAGAGTTGAAAGGGTCATCCTAGTCCAGTATTTTGATAAATGTGGTGATTTTAATTAGTCTATAGTTGAATATCATGTTAATAATTGTGCATATGTTTTGGAGTACTGGCAGAAAATCAACTTCAAATTCATTTATATGAAAAGGTAGCCTAATGTAAAGGAAATATTGAATAAATAATAGCACGGGCAAAAATTTAAAAGTGGTCTTGAATTAAGTGTAAGAACTATGACCTGTACCAAAATCGTGTACAGTGTAGGTAGATGGTAAATTGGGAGTGTGGGGGAGTGGATGGGTGGGAGCTCACCTCCTTACAACCTAAATCACCTCATTATTAGACAAGTCCTGTCCTTGTTAGAGTATCTCAGTTGGGTTTCCCCTCCTTTAGGTCAAACATTCCTAATTCTCATTATAATTTCTCATTTAACACTGTGTTAATTACTTTTTCTTTGGATGGTATCTACTGATAGTATCATAGAAAGATAATAATAGAAGCTGAGAGATCATCTGGTCTGGAATTTGTCAGACTGATGGCACTAAAACTCCCTCTTTTTCTTTTCTTTCTTTTCTTTTTTTTTTTTAAAGAAATTATTTGTAGGACTACACTTATAAGAGATAAGGAAAGATCTTCCCTGGATGAAGAAAGTGATGAGGAAAGCATAGAGCCTTACAAACCAATCTATTCTCCAACAGGTTTTCTTGGAAATTCTACCAAACCCAGTCTAAAAAACATTGGTTTTAGTTATCTATTGCTTATCGTTTCTGATTGATACATAAGCCACCTGATATTTAATGGCTTCAAACAATAATTATTATCTCACATTTTTGTATGTTGACAAAGTTCAGCTGAACTTTGAGATCTTTGAGTTCTTTTTTTCGAGATCTCGTATAGTTGCATTCAGATGGCATCTGTGGCTAAAATCGTTGGGAGACTTCTTCGCTCTCATATCCTGGTTGAGCTGGGATGGCTGAAGGAGCCGAGGGTTGATTAGGCATCTCTCTTTTAACCTGGCCTCTCCGTATGACTAGATTAGGCTTCTTCACAGCATGGTGGTCTCATCTTACATGGTGGCTGGATCCTCTCAGAGTGAGCATTCCAAGAGACCTAGACAGAAGCTGCAAGCTTCTAATGACCTATCTTTGGAAATTATACAATATCAAATCACCATTTCTATTTGTTGAAAAAATAATAGACTGGTCCAAATTCAAGGGGGTGGAGGAATAGATTTCATTTCAATGGGGAAATAACTTGTGTTTAGGGAGTGAAGATATTAATGGTAGCCATTTTGAGACAATTGCGATAAGTAATGTTGAGCCCGGAGGAGGCAAAGACTTAACCCTAAGACCTCAGAGCCAACAATGGTAGGACTAAAGCCAAAATCATAAAAGATGAAATCAGCTTTCTGAGAAAATCTCCGTTCTGAATCCTCCCACTCAATACTGAAAATTAAAAACTTACCCTGCTTATTGTAGACCAGCTAGGCTTTACATTTAAAAAGTCATTATTATTGGCATGAATTTAGATTTTAAAAAGTTACGAAGTACAAAAATTTATACTTTTAAAGAGAAGAAACTGTAATTGTATTAGAGATTATCAAGGGCTTAGAAATAAATCTAACAAAATATGTGTAAGGCTTATAAAATGAAGATATAAAATTAAAGAGATATCAAAGAATACATAAATGAGATATTTATTTAGGAGAGTTATACCATGTTCAGGGATAGGAATTCTTAATACACTAGTTCTCCCTTATCTGCAAAGGATAAGTTCCAAGATCCTGAGCAGGTGCTTGAAACCACAGACAGTACCAAGCTCTGTATATACTATGTTTTTTCCCTATACATACATACCTGTGATAAAAGTTAATTTATAAATTAGGCATAGTAAGAGATCAACAAGAATAATTAATGATAAAATGGAACAATTATAATAATATACTATAATAAAAGTTATGTGAATATGTTTTCTCTCTCTCAGCAAACTACCACAAATTTCTTTTTCCTTCTTCACAATTTTATGGATAGAAGATTTATTCTTACTGTATGTAGGTCTTAGCAATCTCAGCTTACAATTTTTTTCTTTCCTTATTATGTAGAGAACTTTCACCTTTTCACTTAAAGGAAGCACTTTATGGCTTCTCTTTGGCCTATCCAAATTGCTAGCATTACTACTCTTATGCTTTGGGGCTATTATTAAGTAAAATAAGGGTTACTTGAACATAAGCACTGCATTACTGTGACGGATGATCTGATAACTGAGAGAGTTACTAAGTGACTAATGGGCAGGTAGCATATACAACATGGATATGCTGGACAAAGGGATGATTCACGTCCCAGGAGTGATGAAGTGGGATGTCTTGAGATTTCATGCTTCTCAGAACAGTGTACAATTTGAAACTTATGCTTTGTTTGTTTCTGCAGTTTTCTATTTAATATTTCTGGACTGCAGTCAGTGAAGGTTACTGAAACTTCAGAAAGTGAAACCCATATAAGGAGGGAACTGCCGTATCATAGGGCCAATTCTCCTAAAGTTGTTCTGTAGATTCAGTGGATGTCCGAATAAAATTACAACAGGTTTTTCTTTTCTTCCCCACAGAACTTGACTAAGATAATTCCAAAATGTATATGAAACAGTAAAGGGTTGACAGTAGCCAGGACATTTCTGTAGAAGAGCACAAAGGTAAGTAAAACAGTGTTCACAGCTGTACTGTGCATAATGGCAAACACCTGGCAATGGCCCAGATGCTCATTTTAAGGAATGTGTTGTATGAATAAATGGCATTGTATTCACAGAGTTTAATCTTATACATTAGCCAAAGCAATGAAATACAGGGCCTTGCAACAGTGTGGTTGAATCTTAGCAACTTAATATAAAGGGTTTGAAAAGCAAGTGCTCACCTTTTCATCCAACTTGATAATCACTTTATAAAATAAAAATTCATACAGTTGTTTATTTTATTTATAAAATAAAAATAACGACAATGGAAATACTTTAAAAGAATTCATACAGTTGTGGTAAAACAACTGTAAAAGTTAGGGACTTATGAACAGAAGATTTAAGTTCATACTTCTTTCAGACGGGGGAAGACAGCAGGATAACATGGGTGTTCATAGGATTAGATATAAGTTATCGTTAAGGCTGTATCTTTTGATTTGAGTAGTAAGGATACTAAATATATTCTTAAAAATGACCAAATATAGTTCTTTTGCCCATTTTTAAAATAAATTTCAGTGTTTTTGCTATTGTTATATGAGTTTCTTATATATTTTGGATATTAACACCTTATCAGATGGTTTGCAAATATTTCCTCCAATTCCTGAATAGACATTTTGCCAAAGAAGATATACAAGTGACCAATAAGTATATCAAAAGGTTCTCAGCATCATTACTCATCAGGGTAATGTAAATCAAAACCACAGTGAGATGGCCCCTTACACCTGTCAAAATGGCTATTATCCAAACGACAAGAGACAACAAGTATTGTTGAGGATGTGGAGAAAAGGGGACCCTCCTGTGCTGTTGGTGGGAAGGTAACTTGGTGCAGCCACTATGGAAAACAGTATGGAGACTCCTAGAAAAAATAAAAACTAGAAGTACCATATGATCTAGTAGTTCCACTCCTGGGTATGTAGCCAAAGGAAGTAAAACCAGTATCTCGAAGAGGTATCAGCACTTCCACGTTCATTGCAGCATTATTCACAATAGCCAAGACCTGGAAATATGTGCATATTTCCAATTTGATATTACTCAGGTATAAAAAAGTAAATCCTGCTGTTTGTGACAACATGGCTGAACTTGGAGGGCATTATGATAAATATAGTTAACCAGACAGAGAAAGACAAATACTGTATGGTATGGTTTATATGTGGAAGCTGAAAAAAAAAAAAAAAGCCTATTTAATAGAAATTACCAAATACACAGAAGCAAGTCATGCTAGGGTCAATCACGAGACCAGGAATTATGATTAACTAGTTCTGTGCACTTACGGTTCAATCAACCCACCAGCCAACCAACTCAACCTTGGTAAATATTGTTCAGCCTTAGTATTCTGCCACCTAGCTTGAAGAATGTAAGCTGGCCTTTGGCAAAGTAATGTGATTAGGTAGGTTTCTCTTTGTTGCCTGCCCACTGGCAGAGTTTGCGCCTCTTTTTTAACCTGTCTCACAGAATGTAGAAGGACTGATCTCTAAAGCTGGACAGGTCAGATCTTCCACTTACACTCCTTGTTCCTCAGGAAAGGAAACCAAGGCTAAGAGAGGTTATGTGGCAGTCAAGCCAGGACAAGAATATGTATCATGTTACTCCTTGTCTGACTTCATTTTTTTTTTTTTAATAGTTAAGTTTCAAATCATTGTCGCACCATTTTACAATTAACCTTTTTGATTAAAAAATCTGTAGTAAATAATGACTATTTGCTAGTATACTTTCTTGGAGTCAAATTTCAGTATATCTTTTTTTTTTTTTTTTTGCTCTAGGTCTTTATTTTATCTTTATACTTACATATGTATCAAATTATATACAACATTATCCACTGAAATATTGTTATAGCAAATATATTGTAAATAATTTAAGTATTGATTAAACACAGGATGAGATATCTATACAAAAGCATATTATGCAGCTCTTAAGAAAAAAGTAGCTCTTTATTTATTTATTTATTTTAATTAAGTTTATTGGGGTAACATTGGTTATTACAATTATATAATTTTCAGGTGTACATTATAATTTAACATCTGTATATTCTATTGTGTGTTTACCACCCAAAGTCCAGTTTCCTTCAGCTACCATATATTTGATCCCCTTTACCCACTTCACCCTCCCCCTACCCACCTATATTTGACCTCCTTTACCTCATCTATCTCCTCCCTCCTCCCCAACCCCACTAGTAACCACTAGTCTATAGTTCCCTGGTAACCATTAGTCTATAGTCCATGTCCATGAGTCTCTGTTTGTACTGTTCCTTTGTTGCTTTTAGGTTAAAGTTATAATTGGAGTCAGTTCTCTCTCTTTTTGCAAACACATGCACATACACATGCCTAATACATATAACGGTTAATTAATTATTTACTTGAAAGTTTCAATACAAGCACTATCAAACTTGATAGGCTCCATATTTATTCTCTCTCCCCCCACCTCATGTTGTAAAGCAGGTGATAAGATTTAGGAGTACAGCTTTCAGTGGAGATTGAGATGTTGCCTTTCTTTATGATATTCATTAAAGCATGATAGCTCGCTCCTAAAAGAGAGAAGGCCAAAGAATGCAAACTTATGTCGCAATGTCTTTAGTTTACTCATTTCTAGGTTTCATCAGATTGGAAGGAGAGAGTCAGGTTTACATTTAGTAGAAGGAACCCGAGAAATAGTTTTCTCATTTTGCAACCGAAGCAGGCCAGAGAGGGAGGAGATATCTTGGGTAGTCTGGGTATAATTCTAATTAATTATGGCAAGGAGGATGGCCTGACTTGCTGTGACAGTTTTTGTGTCAACTTGGCTAGACCAAGTAAGTACTCAGTTTTTTAGTCAAATACTAATTTAGGTGTTGGCTATGCAGGTATTTTATGGATGTGGTTAACATCTACAATCATTTGACTTTAAGTAAAGGAGATTTTACCTTCAACAATGTGGATGGGCCTCATTTAATTAGTCAGAGTCCTTAAGAGCAAAAACCAAGGTTCCCAGGAGAGGAAGAAACTCACCTCCTGCTTGAGTTTCCAGCTTGCTGACCTGCCCTGTGGATTTTGAACCTGCCAGCCTCAACAACTGCATGAGCCAATTTCTTAATCTCTCTTTATAAGTTCCATCCCTCCCTTCCTCCTCCTCCTCCTTTTGGTTCTGTTTCTCTGAGAACACTGATACCCTTGCCAGGCAAAGTTTCTGAGAGGACACTGGGACACTATTTAAAAAACTATTTAAAAAAAACCTTGCCAGGCAAAGTTTCTGAGAGGACACTGGGACATTGGGGCTGTACTGGTTTTTGCCAGTCAGGTGGACTTGGTCGGGGCAGGGACTGCATTTTCCTGACCAGTGCTTCCCTGGCACCTTCGGAGTGCCTGGCACAGAGGGTGCTCAGTAAGTATTTGATGGGTGAATGAATGAATGATCTGCCCTTTTCTGAGGCTCAGTTGTTGTTTCTATAAAATGAGAGGGTTGGTCTATTTAAATGCTCTGAGACTCTTCCAGAAATGTAGAGTGGCAGTTAAATCCAGGGGTCTGGATTGAGATGTAATGGGTTTGTGTCCCAGCCAAACCACTGCATGACCTTGGGGAAGTCACTTTAACCAAGCTAGGTCTCAAGTTCCTCATCTGCAGAGTGAGAGTTCTGACAATGGGTAGATCATTAGACTTGCTGTGAGGATTGAATGAGGCAGTGCTTGGTGCTGAGTGGTGTGCCTAGCACAGAAAACGTATCACTAACTGTTAGATACCATAACCACTATCATCAGCATCGTCTACCGGTGTGATTCATTATCTTGTAGGCATCTTTCTCCAGGGCTGTGATTCTCTGTGGAATGTTCTGACTGGGGAACATGGATAGAAGAGCTGTATGTACAACTACCAAAAGCTAGTAATTGAGTCCGAGGGCCAATATGAAGGCTGAGGAGCACACAGCAGCCCAAGGAAGTTGGCATTCAGTGTCTCACAGTGACTTCAACTCACTGTGAGGTTGGCCCTGAGTCTGCAGGTACATGAACACCTGGATGAAGAGGAGTCAGAGTGATCCAGGTGATTGGCAGCGAGATTGCTGTGGCTGAATGAATTTACAGAGCATATACAATAAACACTCACAGTCGTGGGGCAAGTCTCACCACCGTCCCTGGCCATTTCTACATGAGGTTGAGAACTCGGGTGCAGAGAAGTGTCATTACCTGCCTCAAGTTGCACAGCAAGTTGATGGGGCAGCTGCAAGGCTGGGCCTTCTCTGTCTTTTGGATAGATGCTACCTAGGAAGGCAACCTGACAAGTAGGAACCAGGGGCTGTGGTTTCTTTCTCGATTTCCCATTGGCTAGCTTTGGATAATCCCTTCTCATCTTTGGGTCTCAGTTTCCCCTTCAGTTGAGTGAGAGTGTGGGAATAAGGGTTTCTGTAAAATTCCTTTTAGCTCCAAATGTGTAAGCTCTTGGGTGACACATGTGCCCTGATACTCTAAGTGCTTTAGATATCTTATTTCATCCTCATAATAGATTTTACAGGTAGACGTATATATTATTCCCATTGTATAGATGAAGAACTGAAGTTTACAGAGTCAAATGACTTGCCTGAGCAAGTGATACAACTGCTTAGTGGCAGGGCTGGGTTTCATATGCAGATTGACATGATGCCCAAACCCATGTCTATACATATAGTCTCTTGAACAGATTTGTCTAACAAAGGTATGAAGAACTCTGGATCAGGGTTGCTTGACCTATTCAGGGGTGGAACACTACTAATTGTACTTATTCCCCCAGAGCCTATCCTGCTTTTCCTGGTACACTTTAACTCCTCTCTTCTGGGCAGAGCAGATGGAAGGACAGGAACACGTGTGCGTGATCAACTCAGTAGCGATGTTATTGCTTCCTCCTGTCCTCCTGGCTGGTCTGGATCACAGTCATGCATGCTGCCAGAGACAGTTGGCAGACTCACCTCAGGTTCAGCGTAAGTCAGCAGCCCAATGGGGCAACAAAACAAGGGCAAACATGTG